GTCATTTCTTGGACTTAAAAGTCACCAAAATTAGACCACAACTCAATCTATGGACTCTGACTTTACAAGGATGATCCACTGTCGGAAGAAAAAGTTGGCCAATCCTTTTTCAAGATTTTGGAGTGCCCAAACTGAGGGAAATTATTCAATACTCTCACAGCATTAAGTGTTCAAACTGCAAATTAATCGCCAATTAATTAATCTCATGTTGTTCCTTCATCTCGAATATAAATCGTGGATCCTTGTGTTTCTCCACTAATTAAAACTTTATTGAGTACTATGTATCCATACTCTGAAAATACTGAATAATCACCCCAAACTGACGAGCGACGTGGTTAAGCAAATTGTTCTATCCGGTGCGTGGCGTTGTGCCACCCATAGGAACAAAAGAAGAGCTTTGAAACATAATGGGTGTGTGTCATCTCTATAAGACCACCAAAAATATTAAAAATCTCAAAAAATTTATCAAATATTTTACATAAGTATAAGATTTATATTATGTGGGTCTCATGTCTCGTTTGGGAACAGGTTAATTTAATAACTTTTTAGTTATTTAACTAAAATATGAGCTAAAAAAAACTAGTATGTTTAGGATGACTTTTTAACTTTTTACAAAAAGATGTGCAAAAAGTAGAGAGAAAAAAGAATTTTTAAATTTTTGGTATGAGTTGTTGGCTTTTTGATTTTTTTAGTAACTTTCTAATTTTTTGACTAAACCGATCGCTTCCCAAACGAGGCCTCATATCCGTATGAGATTTGATAAAAATATTGAAATCTCTAACATTATTCATAAGACCACATTACATAATTTCCATGCCACCATCTATTTTAAGTCTTTTTACATTATAAACGAAAAAATTATACAATGAAGTATATAAAATTTAAACTCAAGATTTTAAATTTCATTAAAAAGATTTTTATCATTTAAGTAACACATATATTATAATGTATTTGTTTTATTTTTTTTATTTTTACTTATTTAAATTACTCATATATCACATGTGTCATTTACAAATCTCTATAAAATGGGGATGTCAATAGATATGCATACAACTATACTTCTCAACACACTACACATTCTCTATAAATGTATTTAGAAATGCAAACCAGACTGACTGTAGCAAAGTGGATTTGGGATTCAAGTGTCAATCTTGTAAAATAAAATGTGGACCAATTAGATGTGAAAAATGTATTGAGAAGAGAAAAAATAGATACACACTTATTTATAATATTTTTAAAATTTTAGAAGCGTAAATGGATGTGTACCTAGCAAAGTTACCATACGCCTAAGGTTAGTTTTGTCCTAGTTGTAAATGGATCTAGTTTGGAAAATACTTATATAGGTAAAGGGAATTTCCCAGCGTAGTTATTAGGGGTGGACATAGGATTAATCGACCTGCACAAGCCGTCCGCTCCTACTCTACCCATACGTTTTTAGGTAATTTCGAGGGCTGCTAGGGTCAATTGCAAGTCTAAGTTTGGCATAATTTGCGGGTCATGAATAGGTTACGGTTTTGCATTATCCACCCGCAAATTGCCCGCACTCTATGATTTATTTATTTTTTTTAAATCTCTACCGTTGGATGTTATTCATTACCCTAGATTAAATCTTTTTTCTTGTAAACCTAAGTAGCAAAAGTAGAGTTTTGCAAACTTTTCTTTTTCTTTTTTGTTTTATTTTATTTCTTTTGAGTTTTGATTAAAGTTTATGAATAAGTTATTTTAGTACTTGTTATTATTATTATTATCGCATTTTGAATGAATGTAAAATTAATATAAAACTAGTTTTTAGTAAGTTTAGCAATTTGAATGGCTTTTAATTGTGTTGCATTGACATATTAAGGATTTTATGACTTTGGAAGAATAGGTTTTTAATACTTTAGTTGAAGCCATTAATTATATATTGATGTTTTGAACTATTAAGTTTGCATATTTTGGCCTATTAAAATTAATTAAATAATAGTAAACAAGTCAAAAAAAAAAAAAAATAAAATTAATTAAATAGTAGTAAACAAAAAAAAAAAAAAAAAAAAAAAGAGCCCAAAAACATAAGCCCAACAAGAAAATCACATAAAAAAACAAAAGTTTAACCCGCTCAACCGATCCGTACCCACTTGCAAAAATGAAAACCTACAATTAGGGCTTATGCGGGTCCATTTTCTTCAAAACCGAATCTCTGCGGGTCAGGTCATACCCACTTGCACTCGACTAAAATCAGCATGCGATCAGCCCTATTAGTTATAGATATAATAAGAATAATGTTACATGTATTACAAATCTAACTAAAAATATGTGTCAATATCATTAGATATTTATGTCTTATTATTTTTTTAATAACCAATCATATTTAACCACTTGTATTTTTAGTAAAAATATTAATATTTATAGAATTATTAATATATTAAGTCTCACAAATTCGACATAATTACACCAACTTCTCATTTATTACGGTGTATAAGCACGAGATAACAAAAATAAACATACATATCAATATATAAAAAAGATCACATTATCATTTTTCTATTCACTTGAGTACCTAATATTTGATGAAAAGAAAGCAAAACTGTATTAAATTAAAACCTTAATAAAGGTTTGTAATTATATTACGTTTGTAGAATTCAACATATATTTTTAAAATTTTAAAAGAGGCAAGTGTAATTTATTATATAAAAATCATAATCAAAAGTTATATTTGTTATAAAAAAAATTTCAAGAAAAATGAAATATAAATAAATAAATATATGGAAAAATTCTATTTTCACACACCTAGTTAGCTTAGAGTACACACTAAATAAAATATTAATTTAATGATAATTATATCTTAAATAAAAATGATCGTAATAAACATCTAACAACCTTCATAATATTATATAAAAAATTTCTCTGTATACATCTTTTAAGAACAAAAAAATCTTAATATACACCTTTTTGAGTTAAAAATAAATAAATTCTAGTTTTTTCATTATTGTCACATTGTTTATTACACACTTTATACTCCTCTATTACTTGCAAAACATTAATTTAGCTTTTTATTTTAAGGTTGAGCAACAAGTGAATGGAGTTTTCCTCAATTTCTTTGGCTTTAATGGAACTACTAGTGTGTAGAGAATAAAGGCTTTGGCGGATTCAGATGGATGATTAGAGAGAACCACAGTTGAGAGGCTCATCTCCATGAATTGAAATTCATCTTCCTCAATTGGAAGAAACAAAGCCTATTGGCTCGTTGGAAGAAAGCAAAAGTGGATGGAAATTCATCTTCCTCAATTGGATTCGGGTGGTGTGTTTTGTTTTTTTGTTTTGTTTTGTTTTGTTTTGTTTTGTTTTTTTTTTTTTTATAAAATAAAATAAATAAAGGTAATTTTTTTTTTTTTTTTTTTTTTTTTTTTTTTTTTTTTTTTTTTTTTTTGTGGCTATTTCTGTTCTTGCTCATGCAGATCAGCAATTCGAAGAAAGCAAAAGTGTGTGGAAAGGAGAGTAAAGTGGTGTATGTACAATGATTATAAGTGAATGATATAATTGTAACTTTAAGTATGTAGATTAAGAAAATTAATTAATAATCAAATTAATAGGTGTGTGTATTGAGAAAAGATGTGCACTGAGCTAATTATGTGTGTGGAAATAGAATTTCTCAAATATATGGGCTTCTTTTTGGGTAAACTATCAATATGTACTAATAGTTGGATTTAATTCTCATCCAGTCCTATTAAAAATAAAGTTAATTACCAAAAAGTCTTGTCTACATATTTGGTGGTAGCTTAGGTCCTGTCAAAAAGTTTTTGAACCAATAAGTCCTATTTATAGGTAAAAAGACGTTTTTCCCTTTAATCCAAAAACTGAGAATGTTCTCAATTTTAAAACTAAGAATATTCTCAATTTTCAAATAGAGAATGATTTCAGTATATAATTATCAAAATTAAAAATTTTCTGTTTGGCTTCTAAGAAAAGTATGGGATTGAAAAGAAAAATAATTCTATTCTAAGAAATTTATAATTATCAATTTTGAGAATTTTCTCAATTTTTTTATGATTAAAATTGAGAATATTAGAAACTGAGAAGGTTCTCAATTTTAAAATATAGAAGAGCCATCGAATTGCTTCTCTGACGAAGAAAACCTCCGGAATTCAGTCAATAAGATTTCAGAACTTAGACCTAATTGAACCAAGTGCTTACACGCAGCCATTAACTTCAGAAACTGAAATTTTTTGAGAAATTTAAGCTTGATGCTCCAGCTCTTAGATCTGAATCATCCGGCGACCTGATCACGACGATTTGAGCGATGGCATTTTGGAAGACGACGGCGTCGTTGGGGACAGTGGCGACGAACTCAAGAAAAGAGAGAGAGAGAAGATTGATTGAAGTGAGGTTTGGATGTGTGTGGCTCTAAATTGAGCTTTCTTTGGAGAAATGGCCGATGGATTTGGTGGAGAGGGAAGGGGGTTTGGATGGGTAAATTGGTCTATTAAAAATTAATGGGACTTGAAGGAGTAAATAATTTTATTTAGGACCTAATGGAGTATAAGTTCACAAAATGAGACTTGTATGTAAATATCCCTTAAAAATAAGTCCTACTAAAATTATCGCTAAAAATAATTTTTTGTATATATGCTAAAAATTGACAATTAGTGATTTTTTTTGCTATGATTTTTATAAATTGTCGCTAAAACTTACAATTAGTGACGTTTTTCTGTGATGAAAATTTTAAACTGTCGCTGGAAGTTAAAAATTAATGAGAATTTTTTGTGAAGATTTTTTTAAAATTGTTATTAAAACTTATAATTAGTGATATTTTTTGTGACAATTTTCAAACTATCACTGAAAATTAATAATTAACGTTTATTAACAGTGTTTAATGAAAATGCTTTTAATTATTATGACTCATTGAACAATAAGCCTACCGATCTGGATTTACAAGTAATTTTTTTTTTTTTTTTAGATAATAATAAATATGTGGGCTTGGTTTAGCATTCAACTCATAAATCCGACATTTCCCAGTTTATGCTGACCAAAGATGGAGCATATTCTAGAATCTTAAATTGTCAATTAGCTCAACTCAACCTCAATGTAACTGAAACGCCACTCTCCCAGTACCTACCATTAGGTCCCTCCCCATTTTTTTTTAAATTACAAACAAACACCTCCCCATAAATCTGAATCTGAAGAAGAACTAGTCACATATCCACCAACACTGATCAAGTCATGTTTCATCAAAACCATTTTCATCCAGAACATGAACAAACATAAATTCCATGGAGTTCTGCAAAATGGGTATAGCTTCAATTGTTTTCTTCATCTTCTTAGACATGGTTGTCATTGCACAAACCATACCCACCACTTTACAAGGCCCATTTACGCCTGTGACTCACAGTATGGATCCATCATTGCGTCTCGGCAGTGATGACTTGCCTATGGATAATCCTAGGCTGAAGAGGAATGTGACTGCAATGTTTCCAGAGCAGATTGCTCTTGCTTTATCTTCGTCGTCTTCAATGTGGGTTTCTTGGGTTACTGGTACCGGTCTTAACTGTGTTTTTTTTTTTTTTTTTTTTGTTCAATTGACTGAATGGTGTGTTTGTTGAATTGGTTTTGTTTTGATTGGTTTGGTTTTCAGGGGATTCTCAGATTGGTCTTAATGTGACTGCCCTTGATCCATCAACTGTTGCTAGTGAGGTGTGGTATGGGAAAGAAACTGGGGATTATTCGATGAAGAGGAAGGGGGTTTCTACGGTTTACAGTCAATTGTATCCATATGAGGGTCTTTGGAATTACACCTCTGGCATCATTCATCATGTGAAAATTGATGGTAAAGAAGTAACACAACTCTTTTAATTGTTGCCTTTTTTATGCTTAATGTACTCAATTCAAACATAGCAGTTAAGAAAAGATATAAAGATAAAAACATCAAACAAAAAATTATCCCTTTACTTGATCCGATATAAAGGCACAGTGATAGGGAGTATTAGGACTGGTGATTTAGGCAATAATCATTTGATTAATCATGGTAGTCCTTTAGTATGAACCTGCTCTGGCAATGCCCCAATTCTGCCATATGGCTGTTCAATATGAATTTTGGTGTTAATGAACACTGCATACTCCATACAGGAGTTAAAACAGATGACCCTTACATGGAAATAAGGATTGGTGTTGTTGATTAGAAAACTTAAGCTTCTGTACAACTAATTTCCAAAATAATCCATGTTTTTCAACAAGAAAATGGAGTGTGGATGTGAGTTATATAATAGTTCCTTCCCATTCTTAGCACTGAATTTCAGAATTGGATCAATTGTTGTGTATTCTTCACCTATTTATGCTAATCTAGTTAGGTCTTCCAATGTTTGAATGTATTCATATATTTATACTCAAGATAAATGTTTGAAACTAGTTCAAATCACTATACTATTTGCGAGATGGTATCATGCTGCAACTGTCATTGATGGAGAGTCCTCCGAGTGGTTTATAAGATTTTTATTTTTATTTTTTTATTTTCTTTTTTCTGATTTTGAGTACTTTGGGCTGATTCTTCCAAACTAACATTGAGGAGCTCTGGGTGTTATTGTAGGTCTTGAACCTGAGACAAAGTATTATTACAAGTGTGGTGATAGTTCTCTTCCAGCTATGAGCGATGAGCAAGTCTTTGAAACCTTACCATTGCCTGGACCCAATCGCTATCCTCGTCGAATTGCAGTTATTGGAGATTTGGGTCTCACAAGCAATTCAACAACGACCATTGATCATCTCATAGAAAATGATCCTTCAATAGTGTTAATGGTTGGTGACTTAACATATGCAAACCAATACCAGACAACTGGTGGTAAAGGAGCTTCGTGCTTTTCATGTGCATTCCCAAATGCGCCCATTAGAGAGACATATCAACCCCGTTGGGATGCGTGGGGAAGGTATCAAATTCTTTTGCTATAGTTACAGTTATATATGCCGCTTCTCTTATTTTTTTTCGTTGTGGTGAACTCTAACAGAAGATGTATAGTATGAATCATATTCCTAGTTCCAGTAAGTTTTTGTTCCTTGGCAATTTAATTATCAGAAATATCAAATTTAGGTTTGCAATGCAGTAGTGTTGATGAGGTCTTTTCATGATTTTGTCAATTTGTCTTTGTTCCTGAATGGATTGTTTATAGCCTTAACTTATCAAATTTGAATCTGAAACACTCCATTAAGCCTCTCTACAAATTGCATCCCAAATTTTGATATATGCTTCCTGCTATTCAGAGGGAAAGTAACCAGATAATTATTTATCCAAAAAAAAAAAGAAAAAAGTAACCAGATAATCATTTAATTTTTTTGGTGATAACATAGTTAGCAGTGATGAAAGTAGAATGTGTCCTCAACAAAGTTTTTGTTTATGCCCTTTGATTATCCTATTATATAGCCCTTGCAAGGTATTTAGGCCCCGTTTGATTCCAGAATAACAACATATGATTAGATTGTTAATCCTATCAAATTCATATTCCTGCTTTTGGATCACACAAATGGCATCTGGCTTATTAATACGTAGGACTCTTAATCCTACAAAATTGCAGTATATTGAATACCAAAGGAGGGTAGGTATTACCAATCCTACACATAATTATCTCATGAGATTATTAATCCCGTGAGATTGTTAATCACATCACTAATACTCCAACTAATCAAACAGGGCCTTAAGTCTCTAAAAGTCTTAATTGCTCACCAGTGAAAGAAGCTTAAATTACTTTTTGATAGGTTAGCCAACTATATTTGGCAATGCAAACAAGAAAGCAAGGATTATGTTGAAAATGGAAGCTATCCTATGTGGATATGTACTTAGCCATCTATTACTTGATTTATGCATAAAAATGAAGCTAATTCTGGTTAGTTCAAACTGAGACTCTTAAAGTAATGGATGCATGATCTGTACAAAATATTAGAACTTTGGATCCAAATATACATTAAATTGGTTGAATCCACCCTAGTTCTTTTACTGACATAATTGAATTGCAAGTATAGGTTCATGGAACCCCTCACCTCAAGAGTTCCTATGATGGTTATAGAAGGCAACCATGAGATTGAGACTCAAGCTGCTGGAATTTCTTTCCAATCATATCTGACAAGATTTGCTGTTCCTTCAAATGAGTCTGGCTCTAACAGTAATTTCTACTACTCTTTTGATGCTGGAGGAGCACATTTCATCATGTTGGGAGCATATGTGGACTATAACAGTACCGGTGAAATATATTATCCTTTTGACTCATATATCAATGTGCATTTAAATTCATTTCTCTCTTTTATTCTTTATGCAATACCTTAATGCATATTTTATCTTATAGTACAAGTATTTTTGCAAATTGAACTTTGATTAGTCTTAGTGCTCATCAAGTTCTTTTTACAGGCACTCAGTATGCTTGGCTAAAGGAAGACCTAAGCAAAATTGACCGCAGTGTAACCCCTTGGCTGGTCGCTGCATGGCATTCTCCTTGGTATAACAGCTATTCGTCACACTATCAGGAATTTGAATGCATGAGGCAGCAAATGGAAGCACTTCTGTATCAATATGGGGTTGATATTGTCCTCTCTGGTCATGTAAGTTGGAACATATTTAGTACACAACAGTTTTTTCATGCAGATAACAGAATGTTTTATTTTGTGTCGTTTACTAAAATCAAGTTTTTGTTTATCTAGGATTATTGGGCATAACAATCGACTAGGGGTTGTTTGGGATGATCTAAATAAGTACACTTTTTGACTTTATATGAAATATGGGTTGGGTTTGGATTGGGTTTGAAGTGATGTGTTAGAGAAGTGATGTGACTTAAATAGGATATTGATTTTTTGACTTTTTCAAACATGCCAAACCAATGCTAACTCATGTCTATCAAATGTTTTCCAGTTTTTTGGGTTTTCCCTTGTGTTTCTTAATGCAGAAACTCCTACTACACTTCTTTCTATACAAATTTATGTCACAAAGTAACGTTACAATGAGACAGGTCTATATGAGCTTTTTGACAAAAGTAGCAGTAATGGAAATAAACATTACACAAATGCATATGCTCCTGAGTATTGACAGACAGATGACACATGCAAATTATTTACCTGTGACATGGTGATGAATTGCCATGTATCTATTGCTGGATAGCTTGATATGCATTGTTAGGCCCATTCCCTAAGAGCTTAAGATTTTGGTAAAACTGGTGACTTAACATGGTATTAGAGTGGACAAGTACATGAAAGTCTCACCTGAGAAGCAGTTTGTTGACAATTTATTTTTTGTTTCAGAACACAAATAACTGTGTGAGTGTACATATATACGTAATCAACATCTTGACTAGGATGCTGATTATAGAATTCCTGCTTTTTAATATTTCACCGAAGTGTTCCAAGATGTATACACTCACATCCAAAATGCCATAAAGCAGGTGGAGATTGAACATGAAATAACCCTTCATGATCCTGTGAAAACAATATTCACATAATATATACTATACTAATATTATTCTTATTCTCACAGGTCCATTTCCCAAGCTCTTTTCTTTCTTTATTAAACAAAGTGATATATTATCTTCATTCCAGGTGCATGCTTATGAGCGGATGAATAGAGTCTACAATTATATGCTTGATCCATGCGGTCCTGTTTACATAACAGTTGGTGATGGTGGAAACATAGAGAAAGTCGATGTTGATCATGCAGATGATCCTGGGAAATGTCCTTCAGCTGGAGATAACATGCCAGAATTTGGAGGGGTATGCCATTTGAATTTCTCGTCTGGCCCTGCAAAAGGGAACTTTTGCTGGGACAAACAACCTGAGTGGAGCGCATATAGGGAGAGCAGTTTTGGACATGGAATACTTGAGGTAAGATAGCTATTAACACCATTTACTTAATTATTGGGCATTGTGGTAACTTGTAAGCATTCAAGCATTGCAAAAAATACTTGAAAAATGAGTTTATTTGTTTGTCTTTGCATTATCAACTAATCTTCTTCACCTCATAACGGTATCATTTCCCCCAACTAGTTTCTGCTGGCCTTTTATTGTTTTGGATAGAGAAATGGAAACGGTTCTTACTTGTATCATACACATTTAATAAAAATAATGGAAACAACAAAAAGAATTTGGAAATACATAAAAATGGTGGGAAATGTAAACTAAAACCTATAGATATGTATAAAGATTAATTGAATGTCTTTGAGGTTTATATATCACACAAAGGAATAAGTAAAGAATCCAAAATTTAGTATCATTGTGAACCAGAAGTCATTTATTAATCTCAGGTGAAACAATGCTAAGTTTATGCGATTTTAAAGATAATTTCCCATCAAATTAAGTCAAAAAATTTACCAAAATAATGGTTACCACAGTAATGGACTATGAAATAAGGACCTTTCCTTGACTACTATGAAGAAAAAAATCATTGATCAAACTTATACAAAGGCTTGAGCTGTTTGTACATCACATATACTTGCTAGTTTGAGCTGCAGAAAGGATTTGTCTCAGGATAATAAACTTTAGAGCATTAGGCTCACTCCAATATTGCCTCCATTGTAGGCTTGAAGCAGCAGTACAAGCATGTACAGGAATTGGTATATATATTTTCTTGTATTTGCATTTGTGCTAGCACAAGAATGTGATTTGTTCATGGGTGAATCTTGGCACCAAGGTGCACATCACATTTATGGATACTGAAATCCAAATGGTTACTCAAAATATTATTATATCTTCTTATTAGTGATTTGTTGCATGCTTTTTGTCTAATTTTAGTACTCAATTCCAGATAACACAAGCTCTTATAGCAACGTTTCTATTATGGCCTTTTCATGAGTTTATCCCTATAACTTGATTTTCATTGGATGGACTCATTTATTATTTCATTTTCAAATGCAGGTTGTGAACTCTACATATGCATTATGGACTTGGCACAGGAATCAAGATATCTATAAAGAAAACAGTAGCGGGGATCAAATATACATTGTGCGGCAGCCTCAATCGTGCTCTGTACCCTCAAAGGTAATTTCCAGTTGCATATTTCACCACAAAATGCTCAAATTTCTTCTGTTTCAATATTGTCTAATCATTGTTGTTATAATGTGATTATGTGATCATTAGGATCCATTGTTAGCACTGCTGTATGATGAACTTCATTTGCTTAGATTAAATGAAGCGTTTGATTAATATTAGTGCAATGATTTTGTATGTCCAAATATTTACTTGCCAAAATGAAAAACAGTTCACCAGTATTTATGTTTTGTGTGTAGTGTTGGGAAGGTTTATGTTTTTCATAGTAATTGTTTCTGGCTCATAATTTGGATATGCTTAAAACAATAACATGCACAGCAAGAAAACTGGAGCAGCCCATTTGTTGGTTATGTGTTGAGAAGCCATCCATCCCTATAGGTTGATGAATGATATATTTGGATATTATCTATCTATCTATACTATTATATAGGGAAGGCTTGAGATGGTGTTGATGCCCTTCTAGCCTATTTAAAATACAAAATTATACAGAGAGGAGGTTGGGACTTGAAACCAAGACCTTCGGTGTGGTAGACAAGACCCTTACCACTAGAGCAACCACACACGCTTGCAAACCAAAATAAAAAACAGCACATCACCACTAGTTATTTATTATGTATTTTATATGCTTACATACCTTTTGAAACTTTTTTTTTATTTTTTTATTTTTGGTTTTTCAGAAACATGAAATCATTTCCTTGATGCTTTTTTATGACAAACACAAGATTTTTATTTTTATTTTGGGTGTGTGCACGTCTTGCGAGGGTGTTCTTTCAATATTTGCAGTAACAAAATTTCAGATTGTGGGATTTATAGTTGTGTTACCATTGTGGTGCAGAATAGTGAGATCACTTCATCACCACCAATGGATTCTGCTGCTCCATCACCGCCAGCAATGGATGCTGTTGCTGGATTCGGAGTTCATCTGTCTGGTGCCTTCATCACCTATTTCTTGTTCCTCATCTTTATGCCGCTTCATTGGTTGTGATTCTTGTGAATAGAGATATTACTCTGATTTTCCTTTTTTATCTGCAATGGTCATATTGTGGTGTGGTGTGAATGTGAATGTTGTGTACATTAGTTACTCAAGTTGATTTTTTAATAGTATACAAACCATTGCCGCATGATTAGAGTTGTTCCTTACTGTGGGGCTCCATTGACCCAAGTTAATTTGTTCATATGTCTAGTGATATTTAGTAACGTTTAATGAAATTGATTTTTTTTGTATAATTCATCTTTCCTGCTGGGTCTACAAAATGAACAGTTCGGATCATTGTTCCACAACTTACATTACATTTGAATTGCATTTGATCCGATCTTGACACGTCTGTAATTACACTTAACTATTTATTATTTGTTCTCTCTGTATTTAAGACACATCAAACTTTTCATCAAATTTTTCTAAAATTATTTTAAAATCTTGTTTCTCAAACAAAATTTAAAGGCTAAAAGCGACCGGCTTACTCGCCAATACTCAGAGAGGGCCGGGCCAGCCCAGTGGTTTATGTAAGGTCAAAATGCTTTTCTTCTTTTATATGACTTTCCCTAATTTTTTGTTTGATAGTCTATGTTTGGGAACCAATGAACCTTTTCTTCTCCGAAGCATTGTGCGAAGGAGACAACGTTGTAAGACTGCTAAATATGATATGATGATGACTTGCTTCCCTAGTTTTTGTCTCTTTTAAGATCCAACTGGATCCTTCCAACAAAGCAATGTACAAATAGAAATGTTATATTATTATTGTATTTATTTTATTTTTTATCTGTATTTATATAATATCAAAAAAAAAAAAAAAACTACATAAGAAGTGAAAAGTTTAGTGAAATAATTTAGTGATATATATTAACTCTCTTGTAATAAATACTTAATAATCATAAAATACAAATATAAATGCATCCATTTCATAGTTTTTGGATAATTAATTTTTCAAAACTTATTTAAGTTATTTATATCTCATAACTATAAGCAAACATTATATGGAGCATTCTAACACATATATCAAAATAAATCAAAAAAAGAATTATTATTTTCAGATAAATATTGTGAAAAAATTATTAATCGCACTTACATATAATGTTATGTGTTAATGTAAATTGTGTAAATGTAAATTACCACTACCACTCACTCCACCTACCACCTCCACTACCACCCACTCCACCTACCACCTCCACTACTACCTACACCTACTCCTCACCTACTTCCAAATCCTCTCCTATATAATAGGAATCCTTGTAATATACATAATACACAAAAAAAATATCAATCAATAATATACATCAATTTATCTATCTAACATGGTATCAGAGCTAGGTTAAGAACCTATTCATTCTGCTTCACCGGCCGGCGGCAGCCTCGCCTTGGCCGCCCGCCGGACCTCTACACATACCCAGACTGTAACTTCATCTTCCTCTCTCTTACCTCTCGGCTCTCTCAGACCGATGTAGAAGCTAACCGGAATCAATGCTCGAGAAAGTTGGTTTGCGAGGCCTCCCCACCACCGCCAAAGACGAACCGGAAATTCCGATCACCATCGCGCTTACGCCGCCGATCGCCAAGTTCTTGGCCAGGCGGTGAATCATCAAGAACAGTCAGTATGATCTTCACCCCAAACCCTAACCACCACATTCACTCTCTTCGCCCTGCTTTTGCTTTCAACTCAACCGCCGCCGCCGCCGAAGGCGGGTCTCATCTCGGTTGGGGTGCAGATCTTCCAGACAGAAGGCGTCGCCGCCTTGTACTCCGGCGTCTCCGCCACCATCCTCCGCCAGACTCTCTATTCCACCACCCGAATGGGTCTTTACGAAGTCTTCAAGCAGAAATGGACACTCCACACACCCACCACACCACACACTCACACACACACCCACGGGATTGACAGACACAGATGCCTTTTCTGATGAAAACATTTTTTTTTTAATCCCTTTAACACCACTAGCTCATCCGCTCGAGTCCCACTAAAACTTAGCTGCACCAACATCTTTTTTTTTTATTTCATTTCATAAAAAAAAAAAAAAAAACACCCGCAGGTTTTCAGCAAACCATGGGCCAAGAAACCCACGTCAACATTACACCATCACTGGTTTTTCAATCCATTATTTTATTTTTTATCTTTTTTTTTTCTCTCTTATTCTTATTATTAAACCCACACAAAACAAAAACAACACCAAGCACATTCCACAATCTTTGTTTTATTTCTGTTGGGCTTAACCCCGTTCACCATTTTACACCACAACCCCAAACACCAAAAAAAAAAAAAAAAAAAAAAAAAAAAAAAAAAAAAAAAAAAACAAAAACAAAACAAACCACCACACCCTGCACAGTGGGGAGTTGTTTCCTTCTCTACTCGTGCCGGCGTGCTTTTCTCTTGCCTCCGTCCTGGCGGCCCTTGCCGGTGTTGCCTCCGTGTTTCCCACTCCACCAGGCACGTTCACTCCCCCATACTCCTCCACTGCAGCATATGGCGGGCCTCCAAATCGGAACATCACGGTGGCCTTCCGCTTCAGCTCCTTGTTTTCTGCCCTTAGCACGCTTATCTCTGCTCGCGCATCCTTATACATGCGTTGGAGCAGAGCCAGCTGGGAGTTTAATTGCTGCACCTCATTTGTCCTACTCTGCAGCCGGTGCGACAAGTTTGTGACCGCCGTCATGGACTCCACACATGCCTTCAAAGTATACTGATTCGCCTCCACATCCGTTTGCATTGCCATTTTTTGCTCCACCGACTGCATCGGAAAGTTCAACGGAGCAAACCCAGTGCTGTTTGGTTGAGGTTCACGGGACGCCGCACCCGTTATCTCTCTTGTTGACTCGTTGAGGTCGGGAAAGAGAGTCAGCAGACCACGGGACGACGAAGCCATCTCTCGCAACAGAGTGTTACAGATTATCTCTCTCAGCACAACGAAGCGTTTTTCAGAAGTTTTTCTTCGCAAGTTGTTTGTCTTCTGCCTCGGCCTCAGGCTCCGTCTTGGTTAAATAGCCGAGGCAGCCACGCGCATCGCGCGCCTCTTGACGCCAGACAAACGGGCACGCCAGCCAAGGCACTCACGTGCCTCGCCATCATATCTGGCACGCCTTTTGATGCATCGGGCACGCCTTTTGATGGCACGCCTTTTGACAGATTGGGTACACCTTTTGAGGGCACGACTTTTGAGGGCTCGATATCTAATCCATGTATATCTTTTGGGCAGCCTATATACACACTCATACAGTGTCTTCTACACCGACCAGCTTTATCAATCCCTTTGTTTCAACCTCAAATAGGTTTCTATCTTCACACCTATTTGAGTTTGAGGGGGGGTTATACACAGTATCATGTATAAGTCGCGCACTCCCTAAGTCGCCCCCTTGGTGCACCACCACAACGGTCCAACATGACCCCATAAACTGTCTTCTACAACGGTCTGACACGACCACACAATGTCTGCTACAACGGTCCGACATGACCCCGTAAACTGTCTGCTACAACGGTCCGACATGACCTCATAAATTGTCTTCTACATCAGTCTGACACGACCACACAGTGTCCTGCTACATCGGTCCGACATGACCTCGTAAACTGTCCTGCTACATCGGTCCGACATGACCTCGTAAACTGTCCTGCTACATCGGTCCGGCATGACCTCGTAAGCTGTCCTGCTACAACGGTCCGACATGACCCCGTAAACTGTTTTCTACACCGGTCTGACACGACCACACTGTGTCTCCTACAACGGTCTGACACGACCATACCGTGTCTCCTATCCTGTTTTATTTTATTTTTCTGTTTTGTGACTCTCTCCAAACTCAAGTTGGCTAGTGCCTATCCTCCTTGAGTTTGAGGGGGGCTGTTAATGTAAATTGTGTAAATGTAAATTACCACTACCACTCACTCCACCTACCACCTCCACTACCACCCACTCCACCTACCACCTTCACTACCACCTACACCTACTCCTCACCTACTCCCAAATCCTCTCCTATATAATAGGAATCCTTGTAATATACATAATACACAAAAAAAAATATCAATCAATAATATACATCAATTTATCTATCTAACATTATGAAATGAAGTCATATTTTCAAATTTTAACATTTTTAATAGTTGTTTTACCCTTGATTGCAAATAACATATGTATATATTATTACATTTATTGTAGATTTAACCTTTTCTCTTAATTTTTTTTCTTCTTTTAATTATTATTTATTCTTGTAGAGATTTACGCAACAATTCTCTGGTTTGTTGGTTTATATGTTCTTGTATATGTCCGTATGTGGTTGTTGTTTTATCATTTTCTTGATGAAGAAAGTTTGGCACATCATAATGCTTTCCGAAGATAGCAACCGCATGAAAAAGATTCTAGTTGTATAGAAGGTACCAAATATATAATGTATAAAACTGACACATATTTGCATTTGTAGATGTAAATATTTTTTGTGTCACATTTGTGCATTAAGTGTTTGTAATATTCTGTGCACGTAACACAGCTGCAGCCGCATATATTTACCGTTTTCGTGTTCCACGCTATATATATTTGGTTGTTTGTAATGATATATGTAGGGATTGTTTGGTACAACTAATTGTAAGATAAAAATTGATAATCAGAAAGTAGAAATTAAAAGTATTTATCTCTTAGCTTTCAAATAATAAACTTTTTTTAAGGGTGCTTTTTCAGTAAATCCATTATCTAAGAGTGTTATTCCATAAGACCCATAGTGTTTTATAATATTCCATTAGGTCCATTTCATACTAAAAGACCAAAAAAACCCTCAAACAAACACACGCCTATCTCTCCTTGAATCTAATAACTGTCTCTCTTCCTCTCTCTTCTTGCGCAGGAAATCACGCACAGCATCTTTACTATTCCAGAAATCCAAAGCCGTATTCCATATCGTCTCAACGCCCAGAAGATTGTCTTTGTTCCATTGTCGCAACGTCTCACCATCTTCTTCGTCGTCCCTACGCCGTCGATCACCGAAATCGTGGAATCACCATTGTTGAACATCCGTAAGGTCTATCTTCGTCAAAATCGCCTTCGACGACTATTTGTGACAACGCTACCGTCGAAATGGGCAAAAAACGTAAGCAATCTACTCATTCGTGTATTTAAACCCTAAATCTCTTTTTCAACAAACAACATTTTGAACTTTCACAAATATCTCCTGTTTGTATTCATACAATATGTAGGAGTCCATATTGTTTATACCCTAACCTTTAATCTGAACCTCTCAATCGTAATCCCTAATTATATTGATTTTTTCAATCAAAAATATTATAGTTGCCATTTTGTTGTATTCACAACTATGAACATTCAAATGGTTTGGAAAGATGTTGGCCAAACCAAATTGTTTCTATTGTTATTGTTGTTGAAAGCTGTGAACATTCACATGGATTGAAAATATTTGGATAATCAAATTATTTCAGATATTATTGTTGTTGTTGTTCAAAGCTGTGAACATTCACATGGATTGAAAATGTTTGGCTAATCATTATTTTGTAACATTGTAGATTTTTTCCCCCTTTTGTGAATGTTTGCCTTGTTGGTATTGTTGATTATTAATGGTGATCCAATAAGTTGAACTTTCAATTCTTGATTATTTTACATGAAAGTGGCATGAAATACAATCCCCGCAAATATTGACATTATCCTTCCCCCCCTCTATCAAATTGTTGTTATTAACCGTAATGAACATTCACATTTAAAATTCCTTGTGTTAGATATTGTTGTGATATATAATTATGTTGTGAATATTCATTACATGTGTAAATTAATTAGACACTTTGTGAATATTAACCACTGTCTTTAGAGGAAATATATCACTTTTGTTATCCCATGTTTCAAATTGTATTTCAATTTTGAGGTTGTTTTATAAGATTAGCATTGCATGATTGTAGTAAGAATGTGCATTGCCATACAAATTAGGACTGTAAATGTTCACAACATTCTCTTATATGTTTGTGTTAACATCCACATGTTCTTGAATGTTGTTCATGGTTGTATAAACATACATTGATTTTTACACAATCACACAATATACACATTGTGTTTGTGCTGACACAGTCAACATACACATTCATGTACAGATGTGGATATTCACATCCATACACAAATTGTGGTCATTCACACCCATGCACACAATTGTGAACGTTCACATCAGTGGCAATACTGTGAATGTTCACATCTGTTCCACTATGCTAATCACACGAGCCTTGACTTAATTTTTTTAAAATGCTCCATTTTGCAGATCTTGCACAGAAGAAAAGCTCAAAGAGAAAAAGAGATGAGTATCATATCAAGGAAGAAAGCCCACAAGCAAATACTAGCAGCAGTGTTGACATGCGGCGTGTCAACTTTAGATCTAACATGACTGGACTGGTGAAATTAATGAAAAGCACCAAATTCACACAAGCATATCTTGGCTGCCTGCAACAAACACCTTTTTGGCATCTATTAGATGCATTGAGAAACAATGAGATCGACCTTGACAAATGCATGAAGTACAATGATGTTGTTGTGCATGTCCTATAAATGTACAAAGCTTCAAAAGATGCCTTCTACATTGAGGAGAAGAAGATGAACATACACGACAACGACATCAAGCTGATTTTTGGTGTGGACTGTGGCACCAAGCCAATGGACATATCATATGGTGCGAAACCAAAGACTGACATTATAAACAAAAGGTGCAAAAATGTCAGCCGGTTGACTTCAAAATGGATACGCACCTTTTTGACCGAGGCATTGAAAGGCAAAGAGAAAGATGACAATGAAGAAGTCGCCCGACTAGTCTGCATGTATGCTTGCCAAAAACTTTTTTCTTGACAAGCGGTGAGACAATAGGATGGGGCTGCTACGCACATATGGTCCTATTGGAAAGCATGCAAGAATATGATTGGGCCAAGCAAATTAGAACAACGTTGACATCCTTTATTTTCCAAAACGACAAAAAGCCGGCAAAAGTCACCGGCTGTGTCATGTTATTGATGGTAAGTACTCATGTTCTCAAATAATAACATTCACATGTCTTTCAATGCTGTTCACTAAGCCAACTGTGAATATTCACATTAGTGTATCATGAGTGAATATGAACATTCACATCAGTGGAACAGATATGAACATTCACATCTGTGGAAAATAATTGCATATGGACATTCACATCAGTGCCACTACTATTAATGTTCACATATGTTCATTACTATGCAAATGCTAAATAACATATGTCATTGTTGTTTTGTTGAAGTATTGGTTGCGTAAGCACACAACCCTTCTACGACCTCACAAGCCCAATGTCATTCCTCGTTGTGTAAAGTGGGATCTGACTACTTTACAAAAGAAGATGAAAACCACCTCTTTGGCTGATATTCCTCACAGACCCAATGCTTTTCCTCGCTGTGTGAAGTGGGATTTGACTGCTTTACAGAAGAAGATGAAAACCACCTCTTTAGCTGATTTGGGTTTTAATGAGGTAGGGCCTTCAACTACTGATCAAAACATTCACATTATAACATCACCCAAATATATACGTTAAGTAACATAATTTTTTCATTTTCAGGTTAATGCCGGCGAACTCTTTGCAATCCCAACAGAATTACAAAAGTTCAGGCGTAAAACATTGAAGGTGGAGCCCGAAATTTGTGAACCAGCCACAACATCTCCCAACCTATCTGACATCAAGGAAGAACAACACAATGGCAACAACTCCCAATTTTCTGGGGATGGAGTTGAGCTAAAGGACAGTAATGAGGACATTTACATTCCGTTTAGCAGCCCACATGATAAGAGAGCTATTGTCATAGCAAACACAAGCCAACCTGATATCATTGATATGCTTGTCAAAAAAAATCGGAAGGCTTGGGGCATCATAAGGTAATAGGAAGCAAAGTATAAACACCTCCAATTCTCATGGGAGTTAAGGGCAAGAGTCATAGCTGATCTTGAACATAAATTGTTCAACCAGTCAAGCCCACCCAACATGAATACCGAAATAAAAAAGTGCATAGAGTAGAAGGATGAAGAAATTAAGCACTTAACGCAGCTGGTCATTGACTTAGAATGCGAGAAAACAATTCTTCAGGACCTTTATGATGACCAGTCAGTCCACATTGTCACACAGGCTGAGGCGCAGAAGCAACTCCCTGGCCCAATGCAACACAATCTCAGCCCACCTTCTAAGGTGAAGCGTATAAAGGAGGAAGATCGAAAAGAGCATCGCTTGCCTGACTTCCAGTACCCAGACTTACTTGGCCAAAAACAGCCCCATACAGTCGAAATGGTTGAAGATATGGACAAACACCCACTAGCGAAGCACCCAAAAAAATTAACCTTGACCAACAAGTTCAAAGTCTGGAGCAAGATGTCCAAACAAGACAAGCAAAAGGTCCAGGCTTTACAAAAGAGTGGAGGCAATGAGTAAGTGACTGTACAAACACCTAATGTTAACATTCACATTCCGTAATTGTCAATATTCACCACTGTGCTTATTTATTTGATTCGTTCAAAACTGTGCAATGTTAATATTCACATTGGTTTGTTTAAAATGCATAGGCTGCTTGTGTGGAAAGGAGACTCGAAGTCTACACATATGTATTTTGATGACATTGTGAACCTTATCAATGAGGAATCGATACACATCAATGTATGCCATTACGAAGATGATTCACTCTTCATGCATATACACACAGAGACACACACACACACACCCACAGCCACAGACACACATTGTTCACCCACCACAAATAATATAATACGACCCTATGTTTGTGCAGCTCATAGATGCATATGCCGAACTATTGCATGAACAACAAGAGGTGGTCAACCCAACTTCAGATGAAGCGCCATTTATCTTCACGAGCATGTGTTTGGTAAAATCTATCATTCTATTTTTGCTAATGTGAATTTGAAACTTCATAGTTCATTAATTATTTGTCCAATGTGTACAGAAAGTGATACGAGAGTACCATTCTCGCAAAAGAAGTAAACACATTGATGCACATGTGGAAAACTACCAGGGAGAGAGATACCTACTATTCCCATTGCACCATGACTTCCATTGGACGATAGTTGTGTATGATGCTAAAGACAATTTGTGGAGGCATTACAACTCATTGCGCCCAATGACAGGCATACATGACCCGCATATTGACCAAGCACAGGAAGTTGTAAGTGGCTTTTTTTGTACACAAATATGACTTGTTGTCATGTGTTAAATTCCAAAAATGAATGTACATACACATATGTTCGTTGGTGCCTAATGTGAAATTTCCTACACAGAGGAAGTACATCGAGAACGTTGTGCGCGTTATTGGCGGGTCATCACAGCTATGCACTAAGTTAGCAGGCCAATATCCGTCATAACTAATCATATCAGTTGATGTCTATCCTTGGCAGGGCGACGACTCGTAAGTCTCACTACATTTTTTTCAAATCCTCCATAACCATTATGCAAACTTACATGTCAACTACTAATCAAAACTATTTTACATTTACAGAGTGGACTGCGGACCTGCAGTATGTTACATCATGCGGGCGCACATATATCATGAAGAAATTGTTGGCAGCCTCACTAGTTCTGAATGGTGTTGACTACGAGACTTGTTAATACATAGTTTTTTAAATCATAAGAAATCAGAGCGTCATTAAAACCTATAGGTGGAGGGGTGTCCACCTACAAACTAACCAACACTCGATATCAATGTTAATATCGAGTGCTTTGACATTTTAACACAACAACTGATTGTAAATCAGTGATACAACATCTATTAATGGAAAAAAGTCACTTGTGAATTTTGATCTACCTTTGGTGTTGTTATGTTTTATAGATGTGAATGTTCACAGTTGCACCACTGATATGAATGTTCATATTCACTTATGATATTCATGCTGCTGTGTTGTGATGAGTATAATTTATGTGATTGTTTGAACCCGATTGTTCTATAATACACATATTTTGGACAGGAATGTACACATTGTCTACATGACATCATTACGGATCACATACACGTGTGAATATTCACATTTGTTCTTATTCATAACAGTTGTAAATGTTATTCTTCTCTGTCAAATGTGAACGTTCACTTATGATATTCATATGCACTAATGTTTTACAGATGTGAATGTTCACAATTGTACCACTGATGTGAATGTTCATATTCACTTATGATATTCATACTGCTGTGTTGTGATGAGCCTAATTTATGCGATTGTTTGAACCCGATTGTTCTATAGTACACATATTTTCTGTAGGAATGTCTATATGACATCATTACGGATAACATATACATGTGTGAATATTCATATTTGTTCTTATTCATAACAGTTGTGAATGTTATTCTTCTCTGCCAAATGTGAATATTCATTTATGATATTTATATGCACTAATGTTTTACAGATGTGAATGTTCATATTCACTTATGATATTCATACTGTTGTGTTGTGATGAGCATAATTTATGCGATTTTTTGAACCCGATTGTTCTATAATACACATATTTGTGTAGGAATGTACACATTGTCTACATGACATCATTACGGATAACATACACATGTGTGAATATTCACATTTGTTCTTATTCATAACAATTGTGAATGTTCACACCATGTCAATCTCTATGCATGTGAAAGTTCACATCACAGTTTATATTCATGTCAACATTGACAACAATAATGTAAAAAAGTTAAACCCATGTGCGAGTTTTCACATAATATGATTCTTTTACGCAAGTGTGAATGTCCACATCATGTATGCATCATTAAAACTTTAACAAAATATCAGTTTGGTACCCAAAAACAAAAAGAAAAAGAAAAAACACAAATCAAATACTAAGTTTGTCAAACCATTATTATGCTTGCCAACACAATGTAATCTTATTGCAACACAATGTTTGCCAACACAACACAATCTTGGCCCTCAAACCATCAACCAAGCATTTTCAATGCATAATGGCTAGAGAACCAAGCTTGTACAGGCTTAATGAGTGCAAAACAAGGCTCAACAAAACCATAACCCTATCATGCATGATCAAGGGTGATGGAGACCAAAAAAAGTGGCGTTTCATCACTTTAAGTATGAAACGTCCCATTTTCCTCGTGTTCGAATTAATGTTCGATCTGAACACATGCAATGCAACACAAAAGATGCTTTATCTTGCCTCTTTTACTTTGTTCATTTTATTTACTCATTTTAGATTACCAATCCATTCTTTAATTGATTAGTCCAAAAAGTGAGTGTCCTCTAATTGAAAGTGGGCTTAAACCACAAGTGTCTTGAGCATGAAAGAGACTTCATGCCGTTGGTTCATTATCAAGTTCAATTTCACACTTGTTGAGCCTGAGTGTCTCAATTTCACAAAACAGCCACAATAAGCTTAAATGAGGTAAGTTCTCTACCTTTGAAGCACAACACAAAACAGCCACAATCTCAGGCTCAAACCACCTTCCAAAGCTCAAACTAGGCTCCAAGGGACCTCAGTTTCAAAGTGGTCAAGTTTGGTTAAGGGTTAGTGTGCAAAAGTGTAGAGAAAACTAACTACCAGGCACAAAACAAGAAGAGAGAAAAAGAATTTTAGAGAGAGGGGAAAATTTTGATCCAAATTCTCTAACCCTCAAAAAATGAGGGAGGACACACCCTATATATAGAAAAACAAGGTTTAGGCTTGAAATCATCCTACCATACATGTGTATGAAGATGCACTTCAGTGAGCAACAGCTGGCACAACTGGCAAACAAATATCTGAAAAAAGAGAAAAATGGCTGTCGGCCACCACTGGTGGCTGACCGGCCATCAATATGGCCAACTGGCCACCACTGATGGCCGGTAGGCACAAGCCATGGCCGATAGGCTGTGGGGCTGGCCGACAGGCCACCCTCCTCTTCAGACTTGAAACAACAAGCTCTTGGTCCACAACCAAGTACAAAACAGACAAGGTTCAAAGGCTTCAAAGACAAGGCGCTCGGCTAAGAACTTCGGGCACTCAAAAAGAACACAAACAAGTACAATCATCAAGCGCACAAACAATGACATCCAAGTCTTGAGGATGGTCAAAAGCGGGATGTCTACACTTATAGTCGGTATTGATCATGTATGGTGCAAATTTGGCCAATTCAGTAAACTTGGCCTCATACTCGGCTACTTGCATGCTCTTTTGCTAAAGTTCCATGAACTCCGACACTTTCCTATCGCGAACACATTGTGGGAAGTATTTATCATAGAAAATCTCTAAAAACTGTGCCCAACCAATATCTTTATGGTTTTCACGCATGAACATCCACCACCTTCTCACTTCATCTTCTAGTGTAAAGGTGGCTAGCAACACTTTTTGTGTTTCTAGACAAGGAAACACTTTAAGCAACTTCTCTATACCAAGGACCCACACTTCAGCCTTTAATGGATCCAATCCTTCGTGGAACTATGGCGGTTTCATTTTCTTAAACTCTTTGGTAATGGCTATTATTTGATCATTATTTTGCAAGTCTTGTACCAGCTGTACCGAAGGTGGAGGTGGAGTGTATGGCTATTGCCACTGTTGCTACCACTGTTGTTGTTACCTCAATGTTTTTGCCATTTCCCGTATTAATCTTTCCATCATATCCATTATGGCAGTAAAGCACTGCCCTAATTCTTCGGCTCTTGTTCTCACCATTATCTGATTAGACTTGCATTATTCTTTATACAAAATGTACACAAGTATGGATATACAAAAGTGCATACATGTTCAGGTAAATCACAATGCAAGTAAATCACAATGCATATAGCTCACACTTATCACATGAATGCATCCTTGATCTTTTCTAGACGCTTATTGCTCATTTGAACAAATGTGTGAGTTATTAAGCCGTGCTCTGATACCACTCTGTCATGACCTGAACCCACCCCGGTAGGTTAAGGTCATAACCGGCCAGTAATCATAAGATTACCTACGGCCTCAAACAAAACCAAACATACATTATATAAGTAAAGGGGCCAAATGGAAGCAGTCTTAAAAATTTTTGTCCATTAAGCTCTACTTACATGGCATACCAAAACATGTTCCATAATGTAATAATAACTCACACCATAAACCAAAATAAACATCTTGTACATCTAGGATCATACAAACATATGGCTAGCCGAACAGAAGGTCTATATACACAAGTGATCCAACGGATCCTCCAAAATAGCAAAAGAGTAAAACAGAGAATAGAAGCTGCATCTCATGCGTGAGACACCCGGGCTAACTCCACAAAACTTGGACTGCTCTCACAAGCTTCACTAAGGCTGAGTTTGGACATCTCTTTGCCCACCTGCATATATATAAATAAGAGTGAACGAAAACCCAGTGAACCCTTTATTTTCCTTTCGAGCAGAAACTTCTTCGCTCGAGCGAAGAGGTCTATTTCTAGGATTTCCAGAATTCCGTTTGAACTTCAAATCCCAATTCCAAAGGTCCAATTCATGTATAATACATCAAATATGCAAACATACTCCCAAAAACATATATTCGAAGATAACTTACAACCATAGTTCAAAAGTCCATGGATTTAACAAATTTCAAACCATAAACTTTATATATACACTATTCATGTTTTGTATCTTGCATGGACAAGCTTCAACGTTAGAAATTAAGCTGCAATACATGAAAATTCTTACATGCATGTGTCAAACAACCCTTAATTCATCATGATCAACATGCTTCACAATCAAATATGCAAACATTATGGCCAATTCTTACATGCATGCATCTAATGTCCACAAATTTACTAAACTTAACTTAATTCATGTCTTAAGCTTCATATATACATTGAATTCACACTTTTATAAACTTAAACTCATAATTTAGGGTTTAAATGCTCACCTAAAAGCTTCAATCTTCTCAATTGGACTAGTCTCTGAGGCTAACTCTTCAAATCTTCAAGTTGTGAGCTCAAATCTACAATTTGTGCCCTCTCTCTCTCTAGAACCGCCTCTCTCTCTCCCTCTCTAGAGTATGATTCAACCAAATATGCGAAAAGGGTTCAAATGTGAGCCCATATATTAATCTCGCATGTATTTATAAGATAGACTAATCAACATTTCTAATCCAAGCTTAGTGTTAATCAATTAAGCTTAATTGAGCACTAAATTAATCTAATTATTTTGATACGAATCCAATTTTAATCAAATTCCACCATAGGTTCTAAAATCGTGCTGATCACAATAATACAATCAATTTCGATTTCTGTCACCTCTACAGGCTTTAATTTCTAAATTACAGTACTAAATTGGACAGATTTTCCTACGGTGAACAGATATAGTTTCAAAAACATAATTAATCACATAATTAACACCCAAAACCATATTACCACATAATCACAATCATAATTAAGATTAATTAACACAATACAAAACAGGGTTATTACACACCCCATTCAAACAAGGCCTTTAATGGAAATTCCGTTAGCACGACGATCGTGTATGCATCGAAATAATGCGCTAACTTCCTAGAGGCCATCATTAGTGCTAAGGCAAGTATTTCTAGTGGCTTGTATCTCGATTCTGCAGGGAGCAAGGTCTTGCTCACATAGAAGATCAGAAGATGTTGTATGCTTTCTGTCCTAACAAGCACCGCACTGATGGCATGCTGAGAGACAGCCAAATAGAGGTAGAGTGCTTCCCTTTACTTCGGCGTGACAAGGAGTGGAGCAGAGGACAGGTATGTCTTTACCTCAACCAATGCCCTGTCACATTCTTCATCACACAAAAACTTCAACTTTAGGGCTTAGAAGAAAGGCCGGTAACGGTCTAATGATCGGCTGATAAATCTGTTAAG